CACACTTGACTTCTAATAAAATTATACCTTTCTCAATAAACAGAGCCAAGGATTGTTTCTATTCAGAGGTTTAAGTGCTGGCAGGTCAGACATGGGCATTAGTTTATGGTTCAGAGTGTTAGTGCAGATCTAGGAAATGGACTGATTCCATAACCAGCTTAAATGTGCTGTGTGAACTCAGCCCATACAGCACTAAAGAAATCAGTGCCCTATGCAGGACCCTGTAAAGTTTGGAAAAAGCTGGTCCTGTTGCATTTCTCCAGATTCTGCCACAGACAGTTGCAAAGAAGGTATGCTTTGTCTGCTCCTGGCTACAAATGGTTCGTTTGAGCCACACCCTGGGCACTTCTATAGCTTTGCACAAGGTAGGTGCAAAGAAATCACCTGTGCAACACTCAGAAGGGCTAGAGGCTTTCTGGATTCTGTGTTAAGTGTAATGGAGAGCAAGGGCCACAAACTTTCTGGATTGTAAGGTAAGTGGAAAGAAAAGTCGGGGGGGGGGGACCAGATAAGCTAATTAGGAAGAGCTGATGTTCATATTATAGTATTAAAATCAAATATTTACTGCTATTCCCTCCTTATATCTCCTCATTTGACCACCTACCTGTTCCTTAAGGCTGAATAATAGAGTTGGAAGGGACCTTGGAGGTGTTCTAGTCCAACCCCTTACTCAGGTAAGGAATCCTATACTATTTCAGACAAATGGTTGTCCTATCTCTTCTTAAAATCCTCCAGTGTTACAGCACCCACATCCTCTGGAGAACACAACTTCTGGAAGGGCATAAACTGAATTCTGAGGATTAGAAAGTACTCTTGAACACCTTGGATGTATTGTTCAGCCTTTCTTCCAGAAGTTGCCATGAAATTCTTATTCATTAGTTGACACGTCACATTTTCTCCAGGAACAAAAAATGGAGCCTTGGGCAGGTTGTGTTCTGATCTTACCTATTTCTTTCTCCTGGTCCCATTTATTTGGGGGGTGTCTAGGAGTAATATCTCTGGTCTGCAACAATCCAAACAACTAGTAAATAGCAGGAAGGAAGTAAAATATTTTTCTACCTCTTTACAACGATGACCTGGATTTTGGCAGCCCAGAAATGGTAGAATTTGTGTGCCCCTGGCCTTTTCTTGATTGGCTGATGTAGTTCTAAACAAAGTTTTGCATCATGGAAAAATGACACTCTTTTGCCACAAGAATAAAGTGCTGTAAATCCAAATCGCCACTTCTTATTTCTTTTCCCACGAAATATTGGAAAGAATGGGAGAGACTGTTTTGCTCTGGGAAAGAGTGCAGTTATCCTTCTTAGGCGCAACCAAATGGCCCTTAATGAAATTAGTGGCTGTGGCTGTTTGCTGGCTTTTGACCCTGTGACTCTCATAACTTAAACGCACTGTCTTAGTCTGAAAGTTCAAGAAGGAAAGGGAAAACACGATCTTTATCCGGCTGTAGAAAAATGCACTTTTAATGTGTGTGAGCGATTAAGGTTTGTGGTGTTGGTCAAGCAGCTATTTGTGATTATTGCTCATCTCCATTGGTTCATAAGTGCTTTGTAATTGTTAGGTTGTTTATCCAATAACTCCCACTTCCTGAAATAGTTAAGTCAAAGAGATACAAGCCACTCAAGGTCATCCAACGAGTTTCCAAAATGAGCACAGATTTTGAGCCCGAGGCACCTCAGATGGCAACCTCCCTCCCCCACACCACACTATATTTAATTGAGTTTTGTGCTAAAACAGGGTCACTGTCTCTTTCTAACAGAGCCTCTGTGCCCTGGAATGGCTGCTTAACAGATGCTTGTACAAAAGTGATGTTTTATGCTTTCAAAGACAGAAAGAACGATGCCAGCCTGCATATAGCTACTAAAAGGGTCCGGAAGGGAGTGGATTAGGTCAGGGAGATCAGAACATGTCAAAATATTGCAGGATTCTATCATCTTGCACCTTTAAACAGGAGCCGGTCAGCAGAAACCTGCTGTCTATATCCCCTGCTCCTAAACGCTCCTTCCAAATAATTTTCGGAACACACACACAGCCCGATTCTTTGAAACCGATTTGTAAAATGCAGTGTTGCGCATGCACACAACCTCATAGTTGGCCCCTCTGAGCTCAACTCTAAAGCCTCCTGGCTGGGTCACTGTCCTGAACTTAGAACAGGACTGAAGATGGCAGTGCCTGGAGAAGAAAAGGATATTTCTAATAATAATAATAAAGTTGGAAGGGACCTTGGAGGTCATCTAGTCCAACCCCCTGCTCAGGCAGGAAACCCTATACCATTTTGGACAAATGGCTGTCCAGTCTCTTCTTAAAAACTTCCAGTGTTGGAACATTCACCACTTCTGGAGGCAGGTTATTCCACTGATTGATTGTTCTAACTGTCAGGAAGTTTCTCCTTAATTCTAGGTTGCTTCTCTCCTTGATGAGTTTCCATCCGTTGCTTCTTGTCCTGCCTTCAGGTGCTTTGGAGAATAGCTTGACTCCCTCTTCTTTGTGGCAGCCCCTGAGATATTGGAAGACTGCTATCATGTCACCCCTCATCCTTCTCTTCATTAAACTAGACATACCCAATTCCAGCAACCATTCCTTATATGTTTTAGCCTCCAGTCCCCTAATCATCTTTGTTGCTCTTCTCTGTACTCTTTCTAGAGTCTCAGCATCTTTTTTACATCGTGGTGACCAAAACTGGATGCAGTATTCCAAGTGTGGCCTTACCAAGGCCTTGTAGAATGATATTAATACTTCACATGATCTTGATTCTATCCCTCTGTCAATGCAGCCTAGCACTGAGTTGGCTTTTTTGGCAGCTGCAGCACACGGCTGGCTCATATTTAGGTAATTGTCCACTAGGACTCCATGATCCCTCTCACAGTTGCTACTATTGAGCAAGGTACCACCTCTACTATACCTGTACATTTGGTTTTTCTTGCCTTCTCACTTGAACCTTGTAACCACACTGGGTAGCTACCGTCTTATTATTTCTCTGAAATGCTGGAATGCAGGCTCACCTTCTTAGCTTCTGTTATCAGCTCCTCCCTTCTGTTTCCTTGGAGAAAGGTCAGGATTATAAGGTCCATTTCTTCTCAGGTTTGCTACTGGTAAGCCTTTCTCATTGAGAAGGGATAATGAGCCATTCTGTTAGGAATAAAACCAATAAAAGTTGAGCAATGAGTTGACCAAATCGTCAAAAGCCTTTGAACCTGCTTGGGAGGATATGGTTCTTTCTCACCTAGGAGATGAAAAGCTACACAGCCCTGAAGAAGCTGAGAAGCTAGAAAGCTTAGCTGTGACCATCTCCATGTTGTCCTTCCTGCATTCTCTATGTAACGTTTTCCTCCGTTTTCACTACCAGCACAACCGGTTAAATCAGGGGTTCTCAACCGTGGCAACTTTAAGACTTGTGGACTTCAATTCTGGGAGTTGAAGTCCACAAGTCTTAAAGTTGCCAAGGTTGAGAACCCTTGGGTTAAATTGTGATGTGGAAAATCCCGGTTCCAGAACAATTTGCGGGAATCTAGATAGCATCTAATCTCCTGAATGAAAGTTATACATCCGTGTGATCATCCCAAAGAGGGAACCAGAGCAGGTGGAATCTCTTCCATGCACGAGGCCAAGGAAATGCTTCATTCCTTCCTACAGAAGGGTCCTTGGTGCTCTCTGAGCTTGGCTGTTTTCTTGCAGATGTGTCATGTCACTAGGTAACATCCTCCATGCTCATAAGGAGTGGGATTTGCTCTCAGTTTATATCCTAGACCAGGGGTAGGCAACCTTGGCTCTTTTATGACTCGTGGACTTCAACTCCCAGAATTCCTGAGCCAGCCATGCTGAGGGGAAAGGGAGAGGTTTCCAAGCTGAGCTATGTTGGCTCAGGAATTCTGGGAGTTGAAGTCCACCCATATTCCAATTGCCAAGGTCAGGGGTAGGCAACCTTGGCTCTTTTATGACTCATGGACTTCAACTCCCAGAATTCCTGAGCCAGCCATGCTGCAGGGAAAGGGAGAGGTTTCCATGCTGAGCGATGCTGGCTCAGGAATTCTGGGAGTTGAAGTCCACGAGTCATGAAGGGGCCATAGTTCCCCCATGCTGGCTCAGGAATTCTGGGAATTGAAGTCCACGAGTCCTAAAAGAGCCAAGGTTGGCTACCCCTATCCTAAAAGAGCCAAGGCTTGCCCTGTCGGTGTTGGTGGGGGATGGTCTTAGAGCAGGGGTCCCCAACCTTAGACCTGCACTGGGCCATGGCATGCCAGAAACCAGGCCTCACAAACAAGCAAACCACCATCCGTGGGATGCAGGCAGCACGTGAAATCACGCCCCCTCCAGTCCCTGGAAAAAACTCTCTCCACAGAACCGGTCCCTGGTGCCCGAAACATTGAGGGCCGCTGCCTTAGGGGTTCTTTGGTGGGCTGTTTACTGTTCCTTCTTTGGCAGTTCTTTGATTGGGGTATTGTTTACTTGATTGTTGGTCTGACATTAATCTTGGAGTTAATCTATGTTCATATGGGTGCTGATTGCTGGTGGGGAGATGTTTTGGTCTCTTTATTCCCTTTTTGGTGTGTTGATCATCTCTTTGTTTTGTTTTGTTGATTGTCTAATTTTGCATATTATGTATCAGCAAACAAACTCAGAGAGCACCAATCAACATTCATTTCAACCCTGAGCTACAAATATTCTCCTTTATTGGTTCCTACAGAAGCTCTGACATCCTTTCCTCCTCTTTCCAGCTCTGCACATGGCTGATTTTGCACATTGTTCGCATCTAATCCAGGGCTATCGGGATCAGCTTGTGCATTGGCTTGAACCATGTCCAGCTCCTCTGCTTCACTGGCTTTATGGCTCAGGCCTCATCACTCGGTCGGAGTATTTCTCCTTGCTGGAGGTCAGACCCAAGGAGAACCAGGTCATTTCCATTCTGGAGAGGGTCAGCCACAAGCCAGCAGCAAGCCAAATATTTCTGGAGAAGCTGAAGGAACTTCAAGAGATCTACAGCCCTGATCTTCAGCACTGGCTGCAAGAGACTGTGCTCCAGCGGAGCAAAATGAAACTTTTTATAATTCCACCAGGTATAAACATGGTTCAATTGATATCAATTAAATAGGACATAAGGCCTCACTATAGTACATGCTTGTTCTTCAAAGGCTCTTTGTCTAGAGCAGTGGTTCTCAACCTGTGGGTCGGGACCCCATTTGGGGTCGATCGACCATTTCACGGGGGTCGCCAAGCAAGGCTGTCTGCCATTTTTTTGTCCGCCATTTTTTTTCCCTTTTCCGGCGGGTGCCTTACCTCCCTTGGGCTGGGCCAGCTGGTGGTCGGCCTGCTCCGTCTCTGCCGCTTGCCAGCTACGCCTCGGCCGGCGCAGGGGGTGGAACCACGCATGCGCGGCGCTCCCGGGCAGGGAAAGTCCTCAACTTACGACCGGTTGGGTAGTCCTCGACTTACGACCGGTTTAGTCCTCGACTTACAACCGGTTTAGTCCTCGACTTACGACCGGTTGGGGTCGCGGCATTAAAAAGGTTGAGAACCACTGGTCTAGAGCAGACATGTCAAACTCATGACGTCACATGACATCGCGCAACTTATCGGGACGGTTTTGCCATTGCCGGCAATGGGGTGGGCACGGCTTCTGGATGATGTATCCAGCACGCGGGCAGGCAGTTTGACACCCCTTGTCTAGAGCAGGGGCCTTCAAACTTGGCAACTTTAAGACTTGTGGACTTCAACTCCCAGAATTCCTCAGCCAGGCCTCAGCCTTTAAGTCCACAAGACTTCAAGTTGCCAAGTTTGAAGACCCCTGCTCTAGAGATGGGCAAGTCAGTCACTGTTCATCTCCCAAACCACCTCTCAAGATTCTGTTACTATACCTTTACAATAAAATTAGTTTGGGTTTGGTTTCCAGGTCTAGTCTACCTTGAAAGGCTGACATCTCCACACCAAAAATGAGGTTGAGAAAAGAGGTGAAACATTATTGTATACCTGGACAGTTAAATGTGATTTTAAGATGCTTCGGCTGTGTTCCAAGGATTAGAAAAGGTATATGTCACAAGACAAAAATGGTTACTAGTGCATGTTCATCCTGCAGTTAATGAGAGAAGAAAATTAACCCAATAAAAGGCATGGCTTTAAGTCAAGAGTTAGACTTTATGTAGCTTCTAAATTTTCTCTGTTCTTTCTAGATCCTCCACCTTCCAGAAGGAATTTGCTGACGTTTTGTCAACCCAAAAAATATAAATTCCCACGGATATCTGCAGGCAAGTTATGTTCCCACACCACCCTATGAGATGTTTTGATTTGTGTATCATATTTATTCTTGCTGAGATGGTCTTTTTAAAACTGCTTACAATTAAAACTGAGGCTAGTTGACCCAATTTCTTTAAATGGGTAGAGTTTTGGTCAATGCTTTAGGGCACTCAATTGATACCTGAGTTCCCACATCACATTAAGCTAGTGTTTCTCAACCTCAGCAAATTGAAGATGTATGGATTTCCCCTCCCAGAATTCTAAGAGTTGAAATCCTCACAACTTCAAGCTCCTGAAGAGAAATACTGCATTAAGCTAGCTATGTCAGTTTGCTTGTTTCCAGCTTACTGAATTATGCAAACCCAGATCTGAGATGCCAAAACTCCAGATGGCTACAGAGCCACAATGAGTTAGAATTAGAATGTTCTCTTTGGGACCATCTAGCAGCCATCTGGGTTGCTGCAATCCAGGTTTGATAGTCCTTCTGTTAATCCATGGATTAGTGCCTACTGTAATTGCGAACTGCAGCTAATGCAGCTTATTCAATAAACTGTGGTTAAACAAACAATCTGCAGAAGATGGGCATGCTGAACTAGAGGGAGGGGTTAAATAAGTCATTAGTTTGGAGTCATTGCGCAACCACAAGAGAATCAAATCTAGCACCCTTCCCCCTCCCTCCCCCGCCCGAATTCTGTTGACCCTTATCTAGTGCCAATTTAGCTTGCTCAGATTTTTGTATATTGGTGGCAAGAATAAACTCTTAGTGCCTTCAGCTCAATTCCTCTTCCTGGTTATTTGCACCTGACATAATGGCTCAACATGAGGCATGAAGCACGCCATTGAGATAGAGACAGAGACAGAGACAGAGATATAGCTGTTTGTTTCAAGCAAGAACACCAACTAGGTAGAAGACATTCATTGTAAAAAACGTATGGACCTGAAGGAACAAGATGTGTTAAAAGTTTGACCAACTAAGATCAGATAAGATCCACTAGAAGCATTGTAGAACGCTTATCCAGGATAAGGTGAAAACTATAAAAATAAACCTACGGAAAAGGACCTGATGAACTCTGTGAGACTCTTGAGGCTTTACTAGTTACCCAAGAAGGCCAGGTCTTGGCACTGTCCATTCTGCAGATGGAAAGGGTGGCCCAGCAGAGAAAACCTGTTACTCCTTGGAGGTCAACAGAGGAGGAGAGGCCAATTCCAACATGATTTCCTCCTGTCCCAGCAGATATGCAAAAGAACAACAGTTCAACTTTCCGGAGGGGCTTGAACCGGCAACTCAAAGGTAAATATATCAAAGAGATAGTAAAAAAAAAACAAACAGAGATGATGTTATTAGCAGGTCTGGTGTGAGATTCTTGCAAACCAGTTGCCTAAATCTTCTTCTCTTCTTCTTTGAGGCCCACCAAGCTCAGGTTGAGTGGAGAGCTCCTAGTTTACAGCAGCAGGCACAGGTTGCTCACCTCTGTATTCTCCTGCCAGCTGCCTTCTTGACAGCCCTTGTGCTTGTTGGTGAGAGCATGCTGCTAAGACTCAGGAGGGATGCTAGTTTTAGTTCCTTCTTAATTTAAGATCCAGGATAAAATCCAGTGATGCAATGAAGCTGGAAGAGGAGGAGGAGGAGGAGGAGGAGGAGGAGGAGGAGGAGGCGGCGGCAAGGTCAGAACTGATTGTTGTCCAACTTTGGAGAAGATCACCCAGCAAAGGAATAAAAGAAGCAGATTGTCCAAAAAGAACCAAATAGCTGAAGGGCAAAGGGAGGTTTTGTGGAGAAAGATAATCCATAATATTCAGTGCTGTGGATTTCATCAGAATCGTTCTGCAAATGTACCTCTGGTTTTGTTTTCCCAGCTGCCCTGCAAAACCACCGTCGCTTGTTGCTGTCCCAAAGTGAGAAGCTGCGCACCGATATGGAAGACACTGAGCCATGCAAATGTCCTGAAGTCTACTACCCCAACCTCCTGCTACTCAACAGGCCCTATTCCAGCCCCACCAGCCATGATTACTTGCAGTTGGCTTCTCATCAGACATGGCTTCGTTCCTACCACGCCTCGTCCCATCTGGACCTGTGTCATCTTTTCTCTCCTTTCCCCCAGGAGAGCTCCTCACCTCACCGGGTGATGCTGAGTGGCCCTGCTGGGATCGGCAAGACTGTCCTTGTCCATAAGGTCCTCCATTATTGGGCACTAGGCAGAGCCTTCCAAGGTTTTCTTTGCGTCCTGGATTTTTCCTTCCAGGAGCTCAGTCTCATCACCACAAGCCAGAGTTTGGAAGAGTTGATTTGCACTAAGTTCACACATCTGAGCAGAGTTCTTCCTGCGTTGCTGGAGCGACCGAGGGAGCTGCTCCTGATTTTGGATGGACTGGACGAGTTCAGGCATCCCCTGGACAGCAAACATCCTTGCCTCTGGCCAGATGAGTCAGGCCACGTGAAAGATCTGGTGTACGGTCTCCTCTATGGCACCTTGCTTCCCGAGTCCACCATTTTGGTCACATCCAGGTCTTCTGTTCCTCTCCCACCAGAACTTTTTAACCGTCATGTTTTTATCCTTGGTTTACAAGAGGCACAGGTGAAGGACTACATCTCCCAGTTCTTCCAGAGCTCCAGTCGTGGCATGGAAGTGATGAACTACCTTTCAACTCACCATGGCTTAGCTAACTTTACTTTCATTCCCCTTTACAGCTTCATTCTCTGTACAGCTCTGGGCCAATACTTCCCAGATGAGGGGCCGATCCGAGCCTCCCCACCCAGCACCGTCACTGAGCTCTATCTGCTTTATGTGTGCACCATCTTGAAGTTTCACAAGCCTCCTTCTCCACCAGAGGAAGCAATGAAATGGGATCTGAGGAGGGACAAAGATTTGCTGCTGCAGCTTGGCCAGCTGGCCTATGCTGGCCTGCTAAGGGGACAGACTGTGTTCTATGCAGATGAACTACAGGAGTTTGGTTTTGGTCTACAAAACCTGCCACCTGTTTATCTGAATCAGATCTTCTTCAAGGAGACCAATGGACTCTACAGTTTTTTCCACTTGACCATACAGGAATTTTTGGCTGCATTATACTCCGTGGTTCACTTGGACTTTAACACTGGCGAATTAACTGATTGCCTGGATCTCTGGTGGAATGGAAAAACTCCAGAAACTCAAGATGACAGTAGCCTTCTGCGCCCAGCAGAGGAATCTGAGAGTGGATTTTACAGTTCTACCTGGCAATCTCTGAATAGACACCCACAGTGGGACAAACTGCAAATGTTTTCCAGGTTTTTCATGGGACTGTTGACCTCTAGACTGGAAGGCAAGCTGGAAGGACTGCTTGGGAGTAGTTGGGAAGGAGAACCAATCATGCTTTTGGCAAACTGGTTTGGAAAAAAGGTTTCACGTGAATCAGGTCAGAAGCTGCTGTCCTTGATACATTGCTTAGCAGAGCTGCACCAGGATGATGTGACCCAGGAGGTCATTTCCATGATGGACAAGGTGGACCTGTGCAAAGTGACATTGAACCTAGCTGATTGCACAGCTTTGGCATATGTCCTGAGTTGCTCAAAGTCTCGGCTGCTTCCAAATCTCAACTTAAGTTACAGCAATATGGGCACCGGAGGACTGAAGCAATTGCAGGACCATCTCCCTCGCTGCAAAACTTTGCAGTGAGTATCTGTTTGACAGTTTGTTCGCTTTGACCTAAATAGGCAGGGATGATGAGACTGAAAGAAATCAATATCCTATTCGCGATTCTGGAAGAGCCGCAGTATCTAAGGCAGATCTATTCCGCATTGTAAGGGTGCATTGCTTTTAAACTATTTTCAATCCTATGTCTTTCCCATGCCATGCCATTCCTGGGGAATTATAGTTTTATGGGCGTGCTTAAACCTTTAGAGCTAATTCTAGAGCAGTGATGGCGAACCTTTTAGAGATCGGGTGCCCAAAAACCACCACCCCGCCCCCGCTCCACCTCCCGCCCTGCCTGCTCCGCCCCCACCCACCCCCTGCCCCACCTGCCTGCAGGGCCATGCACCGCCTCTATGGCCTGCTGCAGCAGATCTCCAGGCAGCCCTGCAGTACCATGGCAGCCATGCCCTCTGCCCACACCCCGCAGCATCATCTGCACGCTATGGGGTGCGAGGGCGGAGTCTTGACCCTGTTGCCTGGGGGCGACTCTCCTCCAGGGGGGCTGCTGGTGAGGAGGGGGCCATGGGGGGAGGCAGGGCTGGGGCAACGGCGTGAGTGCCCACAGAGAGGGCTCCGAGTGCCGCCTCTGGCACCCGTGCCATAGGTTCGCCACCACTGTTCTAGAACCTTTCCTGTTCATAAAAGCAGAGTCGCCAGCATGACCTTTGCAGAAGATTATTTGTAGCCCCTTCATTAAGTTATTCAGAATTCAGGTAACACTATTGGTCTCTTCCCAGTTCCTATCCACAGCTTTTGATTTAACACCATCGGCACCCAATGCTATACTTTCACCCTAGTGGGGCTCCAACCCTTTCCTGGGAAATTCAAATCTGATCCAAGAGGTCAACCCATCCCCACAGTTTTTTTTTTATTCTTAGTCGTCTTATCCAAACTGCATTACAGAAATCAAATACTTAAAATGGAAGGCGCTGTTACTCTTCTCTTACATTCTTACTGCATTTCATTTTAACAGGAATTTTGAGAGTTGAACTTCGCACATCTTAAAGCTGCAAAGGGTACTGCGCTGGCCTGTCACTTCTGTGTCTGCTGGATTTCTGCCATCCATGACCAAGTTGTTCATTGCCACCATGTTTCCTCTGCCCCCTCACTTTCATTTTCTCAGCTTGGTCCTGTGTTTCCACCTCAGTTTCACTTCTGGTCTTTTGTTATTTTGAAAAATCCCCTCCTTTATTTAAACCCTTTCATTTCCCTTGTTTAAAGTAGATGTGTCCAACCTTGGCAACTTTAAGACTTGGGGACTTCAACTCCCAGAATTCCCCATGACTGGCTGGGGAATTCTGGGAGTTGAAGTCCACAAGTTTTAAAATTGCCAAGGTTGGACATCACTGGTTTAAAGCTTGTTTCTTTTCTTTCCCTTGTCAAAGAAATCCTTCCCATTGCAACTAAGTGATGCATATTTATGCCAATGGTTCTCCTTAATCTAGGGCACATCTGGACTGGTTACGACAAGAAGTTGTGTGTGATGGTGGTGCATCTTTAAACATCACACAAGTTCCCTTTTCTGGGCCTTTAAATCCTGATCACACTTGTCTTCCAGAGAAATGTGACCTTTAAGCTACCAGGATAGCTAAAGGCAGTGGCTGTAACCATGCAAGCATGCCAGAAATGGTTAGCATTAACCTTGGTATTTAACCTGTTTGATAAGCTGTAGATCCCTCTGGGTTGTGCACTTTCAGAGAATGGCTTCATTCTGCAGCCAAGTTAAACCGACTGATTGTGTTGTGTTTCAGATTGCAATACAATTCTCTAGACTGGGAAGCAGCCAAAATCGAAGCAACTATTCTAAAGTCCCCCCAGTGCTGTCTGAAAAGACTGGTGTAAGTAGAGACGGTCATAAAATGCTTTCTTTAAAATGCATGTTGGCAGGGGAACATTGGGAATTGAGCCGCCAAGGTGGAAAAACATGGTTTTGGGGCTACAACTGATGAAACTCTCTTTGGGCAGTTAAGCTAGCTGCTCTACGGAATGGGGATGGAGGCTTGTTCGCCAAGTTTGTGGGTTGGTTTCCGAACGTTTTGTTACCAGGCTAGGTAACATCTTCAGCAGAGTTTAGGGGGTGTCAGTGTCCGTGTTCTTTTGCTTAGAAGGGCTTTGTGTGGTCATAAGTCTTGTGATGGGGAGGTCACATCAGGCGAGGGTCTTGTGATGGGACAGGTGTGGGCCACGTCAAGTGAGGGTCTGGTGACGGGTCTTGTGCTGGGACAGGTGTGGGACATATCAGGTGAGGGTCTTGTGATGGGTCTTATGATGGGACAAGTGTGGGTCACGTCAAGTGAGGGTCTTATGATGGGTCTTGTGATGGGTTTTGTGATGGGTCTTGTGATGGGACAGGTGTGGGTCACATCAAGTGAGGGTCTTGTGATGGGTCTTATGATGGGGAGATCACCTCATGTGAAGATCATTGGGAGGTGAAGTGCTGGTTGGGGAATTTTATGATGAGTTTTAGACTTCATATTTGGTTTAGAACATCCATGGATTATCCCACAGTTCCTATTAATGGAAGGTTGGAAAGGAATTGAAATGGCCTGGGACTTTCTCCCTCTCTCATCAGAAAAACCCTCCAAAATCTGAACCCAAAGGGACCACTGCCTTCAATATGGGGGCAAAAGGTAGAAAAAGAAAACAAACCAGGATGAAAAATGGTTCCGATCTGATCAGAATCTGTAGAAAAGCAAGTTGTTCCAGGGCATCTCCACTGGAGGGCTTTTGCTATGCTCCCTTCTGAGCACCACTTTTGGGGATTACATTAATCAGAGTTACACATTATGCACACAATCACAGCATATCATTTTGTTGGACTTGGCAACTCCTGTGCCAACTATTGTTAAAAGAGACAGAAGGCATTCCAGACACTGGGCATGCTTTCCTTCCCTTTCTCCCTGACTGTAGAAAATATATCCAGAACTTGAATAACAAAAGAACTCAGTTCTATGGGCACTTGGGGGGGGGGCAGGTCAAAACTGATATTCTGTGCTAGGAAGAGAGCATCACCACGTGACCTTATTTTGCAAAGGGGGTGGAGTCCCCTTAGAATAGGGCCAAGGATGCGTTCTTTAGAACAGAGTTCCCCAACTTTTCATCTTGTGTGTGTGTGTGGTTCCGTGTGAGCGGCAGGCACAAGCCCTTGCCGCTAGCACGAATGGAGCGCACACACCTACATTTGCCACTGATCATGCAAGTGGGGATGTCCGTGCATGCCATTGCTCACCCACTACTTCTTTTTTATATATATATAAAGATTTTATTGTTGTTTTTTTTCATCAACATATGTTAATTTTTCCAATCAACAAGTTGTCTGGAGCTTGCTATGCTAATACATGTTCAATTCCTAATCCTTCATTCTTTCCTCTAGCCCAGTGTTTCTCAACCTTGACAATTTTAAGGCATGTGGACTTCAACTCCTAGAATTCCACAGCCAGCAATGCTGGCTGTGGAATTCTGGGAGTTGAAGTCCACATGCCTTAAAATTGTCAAGGTTGAGAAACACTGTAAATTAGCCAAGAATAAAATAGGTTCCAAATTTGATAGTAGTCTGTATCTTCTTTATCTTTCAACCTCATCGTTAATCTGTCCATCTCTGCACATTCCAATATTTTCCTGATTATTTCTTCTTCTGATGGCAATCCTTCATTCTTCCAGGATTGTGCAAAAATTATTCTCGCTGCTGTAGTAATGTGTAAGATTAAATATAATTTCTGCTTATTAGTCTTTTCAGGCATAATACCTAGTAAAAAAATGTTCAGGTTTAAAATCCACTTGTTCACCCAATATTTTTTCTAACCACATATGTATCTTTCTCCAATAGGCCTTTGCCTTACCACATGTCCACCAAATGTGATAGTACGTGCCTAGGTTATGTTTACATTTCCAACATCTGTCTGACATATTTTTAAACATTTCTGCTAATCTTGCTGGCGGCAGGTGCTCACCCACTACTTCTGTGGCCCGGTTTTGAAAGGTTCAAGGCCCAGTAGTGGGCCACGACCTGAGGACTGGGGACCCCTGCTTTAGCACTTCCTTCATGTTTAGTGGATGGGAGGTCTGCCTAAGATCGGCCAGATTGAATCCATTCTGGTAAAACTGTTTGCTGTTTCCTGCTGGAGACTTTACACCAGGGGTCCCCAACCCCAGGTCCGTAGACCGGTACCGGGCCGTGGCATGCCAGCAAGCGGTCTGCACAAACAAGCGAAGCCCCATCCACGAGATGCAGGCAGCATACAAAACCACGCCCCCTCCGGTCCACAGAAAAACTCTCTCCACGGAACCGGTCCCTGGTGCCCAAAAGGTTGGGGACCTCTGCTTTACACAATGTTGTGAGTTGGAATTTAGATGATTTTAGGTGATTCTGCTGGGCTAAATAAGTGTTACTTTGCATACATTTTCTACTCTACCCAAGGCTTCATGGGAACCGGCTGGGATCCAGTGGGGCAAGTCTCTTGTGGAACGCCCTTCGCGATAACACCACCCTAGAAGAGCTTTATTTGGATCTTACAGACCTAACGGACAGAGGCCTCCATAACATTTTTGATTCTCTATCGGGAAACACAACTCTCCGGCTTCTGAGGTGAGTTTGCTTCGCTGCTCATTCATTATGAGACTTTTGGGACACTGCAACAGTCATAAGTGTGAAACAGTTGCCAACAGTCTGAATTTTGACCACGTGACCATGGGGAGTAATATAGCATATATTAGCTTTATTGTGACATTGCATCTTTTAACTGGGCCTTGCCATATTAATTTCAAATTCTTTCTCAGTATTCCAGGGAACAGATTCAGCCAAGGAGGCCAACATATCCTCTCTGAATTGTGCCGCAGAAACCCCAAACTTAAGATTGTCAGCCGTTTCCTCTCTGGTGCGGCTTTGCTCCAGAGTTATCTGGATTGGGTGGACGAGATCACAGTGGAGCCCAAGCAAATGGAGTCGGTCAACAATGCTGGAGCCCTGGACATGATTCTGGAAACATTGGTGGACACAGACGATCCAGAAGCTAGCCAGGAAGCTCAAGAAAAAGTGGGAGAGCTGAAGAAAAAGATTTGTGCTATCCTGAAAGAGGACCAAAAAAGAAGAAGAAAAGAGATATAAACCCTATTTAATCTGATCCGTGAAATGAGACAGTTTTTGTGAGCCAAAGGGTGCCATCTCACAGAATGTCTGACCTTTTTATTTGATCCCATCCGTGCTTTTAATTAAATAGAGGAATACAGGTACTTTTTGACTTGCAACCAGCCAGTTCGCAGCAGTTTGGCAGAACCAGTAGCTAATTTTTTGTTGCCCAGGCCCAGAATGGACTTCCAGAAGCGGCATCCATACAGAGAACCGGTTGTTCATAAATTTGAATCCCACCACTCCTTCCTTCCTTCCTTCCTTGGAAGGAAGGAAGGAAGGAAGGAAGGAAGGAAGGAAGGAAGGAAGGAAGGAAGGAAGGAGGGAGGGAGGGAGGGAGGGAGGGAGGGAAGGACACCATCCTAAGTCCGTTAAGTGTGGTCAAGTCCTCTTGACCATCGATTAAAAAACAACGGGTCCGGGTCTTACCTGAAGGAGAAGCAGCAACTACACAGAGAACCGGTTGTTGACATATTTGAATCCTTCCTTCCTTCCTTCCTTCCTTCCTTCCTTCCTTCCTTCCTTCCTTCCTTCCTTCCTCCCTGTGGTAGGATTCAGGCAGTTCGCACCACTTTGGCAGAACCGGTAGGTAATTTTTTGTTGCCCAGGCCCAGAATGGACTTCCGGAAGCGGCATCCACATAGAGAACCGGTTGTTCACATATCTGAATCCCACCACTGCTTGCAACCATTTGTTTAGCAACTGTTCCAAGTAACTTACGATTGTATGTACGACTGTACGACTCGACTTACAACAGTTCATTTAGTGACCGTTCCAAGTGACAACAGCATTGAAAAAAGAGACATGACCATTTTTCACAGCTGCAACCTCACAGTATTATCTGCATTTCATCCCCACGATCATGCGATCAAAATTCAGACGCTGGGCAAGTGGTCCATGTTTATGACGGTCGCAGTGTCCCGAGGTCACGTGATCCCCCTTTTGCGACCTTCTGACAAGCAAAGTCAATGGGGAAGCCAGATTCACTTACCAACCGGGTTGCTAACTTACCAGCTGCAGTTGATTCACTTAACAACTGAGTCAAGAAAAGTTGTAAAATGGGGCAAAACTCACTTAACAAATGTGTCATTCCACAAGAGAAATGTTGGGCTCAATTGTGGTCTTAAGTCAGGGACTACCTGTACTTAACAACTGTTGCAGCCTCCCCATGGTCACATGATCAGAATTCAAACCCTTGGCAACTGGCATGTATTCACACAGGTTGCAGCATCCCAGGGTCACGTGATCACTATTTGCAACTTCCCAGCCAGCTTCCAACAAGCAGAATCAAGGGGGGGAAGCTAGATTCGCTTAATGACCACGTGGTTCACTTAATAACTGCAGTGTTTTGTTTTAACAGCTATGGCAAAAAGATAATAAAATTGGGCACGATGCATTTAACCACCACCTTGTTTACCAGTGGCAATTCCTGTCCCAGTTGTGGTCACAACAAGTCAAGTACTCTCTGTATTTCCTTTACTCACTTTAAATAATAGCGATCTAGGGATGATCACTTACATCAGATTGAACTGTTTATCTAAACAACCAAGAAAGATCCACTCTGCAGGCCTTCAAGGTCTCAAGAAAAGGTGCTAAAGTAGAGATATTATATTCATTTTCTTCTGCAGGGGCTTTTCAAAATCAGCAGGGGAAACACACATCTTTTGGCAAGCCATAGGGTTTGTGTTCTTCCATATCCCACAGCTGGGTAAATAATAAAAGTCCAGTTGCCTCGTGAAAAAAAGGCACCTTTGCCATAACTACGACCTGGAGGACTGAGAATCTCCATGGACATATCTTGACTTTTAAAACCCAGCATTGGCAACCCTGGAGGGAGGAAGGAGGATCTCGCGGTGGCGGAGAGAGACAAACCGAAAACGAAAGCGTGTGAAAAATGCAGCAAAAAATCCAGTTTTTTTCTCTCGCTCCTATACATTTCTTGCTCTATTAGCATTCCACCCGCCCCTTTCTCTAGACACGCCCCTACTCCAGTCTTGTGCGTTTTCCTTGAGACCAAATCGAGGTCGCTCGCTCTGGAAAGAGGCAGGAAAAGCCCACGCGTGACCAGATTGTCTAAAAGTGGAGAGCGTGAGAACTTTCTTTTCCCCCGCCCTCGGCCCGTGTCACCGGCAAGGGGGTTGGAAGAGCCCTTCCCGTCCCGTCCCGCTGTGGGGGAGGGAAACAAACTCGCCCCGATGCGTAAAAGATCCGCCTCTCCCCAAACTGGTTTAAGCTGCAGTACAGTACTATATTCATTGCCTTAAGCTTTGGCTGGGGATCATGGGAGCTGCAGTTCAACTGATCTTAGAAAGTGCAATATAAGGAAGATGTGGGGTGGGGTGGGGGCGAGAATGTCAGCTTTGGAAAAAATAATGCTGATTCTTAGGACTTGATAGCTCTCCCTTAAGGGCAGATACGGAGTTTTTGGGTTAACTACAGAATAAGTTAACTACATGTAGTTGGCTTTCTCAGTAAATAACAGTGCTGGGTTTCTACCATCAGTTTACAACTGGTTCCTATTCATTTCACAGAACATGACTACGACCCTGTTGAATCTAGAATAGGCTAAAAATATACCTTAGAATGTTGTTAACTTCCTCTCTCTCTCAATAAAAAAAGCTGATGGATGATCTCCAGAAGTCATCCAGAAGCCCATGAAAAGTACAAAAGTGATTTTGAATTTGCGTAATATGCTTATCTGGCCACAAAACCTGTATTCTCTGTTGACCTTCTGAATTGCAGGCTAGGCCAGTGTTTTCAAACCTGGCAACTTTAAGATGTGTGGACTTCAACTCCCAGAGGTCCACCACCAAAAGTGCCAAGCCATTGTAAAGGTCCCTGGCCCTTACTTAAATTTGAAATACCATTAAAAGTCTAATCAGGCAACTCAAACAGAGGCTTCTTTTTTATTTTCGATTGAAATAAGTCCTGGGTGTGGGAACACAATCTGAACACTGGCAGCATTGCGTTCAGAAGTGCCACACCTTAGAAAGTTAGTAGCATTGCTTTAGAAACTTTGTTAGCCAGTGAAAAATCAGACAACAGAGCCATTACATCATAAGAAAGACATCAGTCATTCCTGTACACTCCCTTATTCCCTCTTCCAGTATATCCCATCCATGTACATGTTTTCCCACGCTTGCATGACGTTTATCCCTGATGCAAATGCTGATTACAATAGCAATAGTTAGGCTAAACAATTTATTTTTGTTCCCGTTACCATCATTAGACAAAAGGGGACTGTCCAAAATGCAAATGAGGTTAAAATCTAAGTTCACCACACTGGGTTAATGCACCCGCTAATCTTTTTCAGCCTGTTGTATGAACCTGGCTAGTCTCTTTTCAAAGACTTGTGTTGAATTCTGTTAAACACAAGTTGTTGGAATTGGGTATGTCTAGTTTAATGAAGAGAAGGACAAGGGGGGACATGATAGCAGTGTTCCAATATCTCAGGGGTTGCCACAAAGAAGAGGGAGTCAACCTATTCTCCAAAGTGCCTGAAGGGAGGACAAGAAGCAACGGATGGAAACTAATCAAGGGGAGAAGCAACCTAGAACTATGGAGAAACTTCCTGACAGTTAGAACAATTAACCAGTGGAACAACCTGCTTCCAGAAGCGGTGAATGCTCCAACACTGGAAGTTTTTAAGAAGAAACTGGACAGCCATTTGTCTGAAATGGTATAGGGTTACCTGCCTGAGCAGGGGGTTGGACTTGATGACCTCTAAGGTCCCTTCCAACTTTATTATTATTATTATTATTATTATTATTATTATTATTATTATTATTATTATTATTATTATTATTATTATTATTATTATTATTATTATTATTATTATTATTATGCAACCCCATTTATTTCCTAAAGAATGAGCAGTGATTCTTCGAAGGGCATGCAGTATAAATTCTAGGCCAAACATTCTTCCTACATATATCTATCTACTTATAATGATACTTCTTTTCAGAATAAATGTGGAAAAGAGAAGGAGTGCAAGAAATAGTGTCACTATTGGCAACACGAATTAGAAGCAGCTTCTCGGAATTTGAAGCAGGAAGTTTTTTCTCGCCCAAATCCATCCTTCTTGAAGATACTTTTTGGAGGTAAAAAAAAACTATACATAATCCTCAACTTAGAAATTTAATTGAGCCCAAAATGGATGTGGCTAAGTGAGAAATTGGTTTAAGTGAGTTTTGCCCCCTTTTACGACTTTTCTCACCCCAGTTGTTAAGTGAATCACTGCAGTTCTTAAATTTGTAAAGGGTTGTGAATCTGGTTTCCCCCGTGGACTTTGTTTGTTGGAAAGTCACAAAAGGGGAGCACGTGACCCCAAGGCACTGTAACCGTCATAAAGATGAGTCAGTTGCCAAGCACCTGAATTTTGATCACAAGACCATGAGGATGCCGCAACAGTTGTAAGCGTGAAAAATAGTCATAAGCCACTTTTTTCAGTGCTTTTGTAACTGAACGGTCACTAAATGAACTGTTGTAAATCGAGGACTACCTGTAGTAGCAGGGAGGGGAGAAAGAGAATAATAGTTTATAAACCACGTAGTGACTAAGTTATTTCCATTTCCTAATGTTATTTGTTTTGAGGTGTCTGTGTGATGGTTAGAGTCTGCCGTTGTGTGTTTCCTATGGGAGACGGCAAGAACATGATGTACAGATTTATTCAGAAGACTTTTTCCTCTGTAGATCACAAAAAGAAAAAAAAAGAAAAAACATTTTTTTTTCAAACATATTGAAAAGATGTTGAAGGAGTAAATAGTTTCCTTGACCATTGGTTTCGTATTCTCCTTTTTCCTATAGTCTTTGTGTCTCCTGGTGGCTTTAGAATCACGGAGAAGGTCCTATGGCTGAGAATCAGCAGCCTGTTCATGGTGAGACTCCTGAGACAAGGCTAATCCTGATGCCATCTGGGTCATCCTCCAAGGAAATGTCCGCATCTGGAGCTTCTGAGCATCTTAACTCCTTGGGACACG